TTTAACATATAAAATATATATTCTACTCGTTGTTATTAACAACATGAAGTGCATTAAACATTATATTACGTCAAAGTTTCCCAAACTGGGGTTTGTGAAGGAACTGAAGGGGGTTTATCAGTTTGATGAAAAGCTAATAAATAAATAAATAATTAAATCATAAAAATGTTAAATTAAAATAAATCATTCAAAAATCAATCAAAATAAAACACCTACTAAAAAAAATAAATATTTGATTTGTTACCTCCAGAACCATGAACATGCAAATGTGATACTTAATTATTAAATATCTATTTTAAAATCTCAGGGGTACTTAATTAAATATATTAAGTGAAAAGGTGACAAAAAGGTTTGTGAATTTGTGCATTTTAATGTGTTTGAAAGACAAAAGCCTTCACATTAATACGGTTAAATAACGTACAGGGTGATAATTCCAATAAAAATTAACAAGTTCATCAGTAGTTGATGCAATGTTGAAACACTTCTTAAAAGTGGTCACAAAATCACTTTACTTATTTATTTAGTCATTTATCAGACGCTTTTATCCAAAGCGACTTACAAATGAGGACAACAGAAGCAATCAATTGTAGTATTAAAACAACTAAAAACAGATCCAAAACTAAAAGCTAAAACTTTATATATAGTACTTATACACATTTTAAAAATAAAGAAATTAAATAAAAATGACTAATGCATACAACAAAATCTCAAAACTTAACATTTAAATGAAAAACATTTCTAAAAGCTAAAAACAATTCAAAATATTAAAGAACAAAAGGTATGAGTATAATAATGATTCTAACAAAACACTAAGCCAAACACCAAAAAACAACTACGTGTGTATGTACAACCACACACACACACACACACATATATATATATATACATTTATAAATTCAATATATATATTTCATTTCCATTTAGTTTCTTGAAGTATTAAAATAACTCAAATTAAATAAAACTAAAACTTAACAAAAGACCTATACAGTAAATAAATTCAGACATAATTGAACTAAAATTAAAATAAATAACAAATACAAATAATACAAATCAAACAACAGTAGTTTATCAGTAATCCTAAAAAATAACACTGCCAAACAACAACTTACTGACACATAGTCAGAAATGGTTATAAAAACTGAAACAGAAGTGAAACAAGTAATAGGAAAGAGGAGAAATAAAAAGCGATACTTTACTTACCACATTATTGACAGCATTTTCCACATGATCAGCCATTGATGCTGTGAAGTGACCCAGGGATCATAGAAACAGCAGGAGCTCTGGATCTGACTGGACTGAGACCACAAAACAGCACAAATAATCACACAATCATGTTCATCAAGTTTATGACTGAGCTGAATGCACAACTCTGACGAGTCAGTTCTGCGAGTTTAAGACTACTTACATTCAGAAAGAAGAACCTTTAGCTTATAATATGAAGCTTTATGATATATATATATATATGTGTGTGTGTGTGTGTGTGTAAAAAAAAAACCTTACAAAAAGTACTGTGCTGGTACCAGGGTACAGCCATGGTACCTGGTAAAATGACTGTACTTTGATATATGAGACGACTATAGTAACTACTACAGACTAATACAAATGGTGTTTAGATAACACTCCCACTGCGCTTTAAACACCAGCACAGATCACTTCAGTGAATCTCGAACCCGTGGTTTTCCTAACTGCACACAGCTGAGGAGTTTCCTCAGATCTGACTGTGCGGAAATACTGTTTCCTTTTCATCTTCAAAACGAGCCAAAATCGAAATATTTCCGTTTCGGGCAAAGAACGGTTGGAACTAAACAAAGCAGCGATTAATTCACAACAATGTAGCTTGAGGCTAGTTAGCGCTTGATTATCTACTGTAATTCTGGATAAATTACGCCAGTCAGCTCGAACTTAAAAACTTTAAAACGAAAACGAATCAGCCCCATATTCATACATCGCTTTATGTATAATTAGGAAACGGAACTGTACAGATAACATCATTTAAAGACGAATGTCTGACAAACCTGGAGTCTGAATTCTCACTGATAAAAGCCCTCAGACACGGCGGGACAGACAGGAAGTGCTGCGAAAGGTCAAAAACTGCTTGTTTTTACACAATAAAAGTCTCATTCAACGGCATAAAATGCATTGTTCCACACAAGTTATTAAACTTGGCAGCTGGGTAACGTTACATAAAAAGCAGGTACACCTTCTTCGACAATGACACTGAAACAGTTTTGAACTAATTATACTGGATTTCCATAGAAACGCATTAACTGTGGGCGTTCACTCTAAGCAAACAAACAAACAAATAAATGCGATAAATTAACATTCAAATATGTATTTATTTACTTACTGGGATTTTCCAAAGTCCCAGCTGGAATCTGGTCCTCTGGTACAAGTGGTACTCATTTGAAAAGAAAAGATATAGGAACATACACAAAACAAATGCAAATATTTGTATATACACTGCTGTCCAAAAATTTGGGATCAGTAAGATTTGTAATGTGTTTTTTTTTTTAAAGAAGTCTCTTCTGTTCATCAAGGCTGCATTTAAAAAAAACAAAAAAACAAACAGTAATATTGTAAAATAGTATCAGCATTTAAAATAATGGCTTTCTATTTTAATACATTTTAAAATGTAATTGATTGCTCTGATCAAAGCTGAATCTTCAGCATCGTCTTCAGTGTCACACAATCCTTCAGAAATCATTCTTAAAGGGGTGTTTGATCAGCTTTTTTTCCAAAGCTTGATTGTGTTTATGGGGTGCAGTGTAACGTGTTCATGCTTCGTAAAAAAAAAAAAAAAATCCTATTTTCACATATTTTACCTTTATTCTGCACCGCTGTTTCCATTCTCGTCAAAACGGTCTGTTGAGTTCCTGGTTCTATGAAGCCCCTCCCTCAGAAATACGCAATGGGCTCTGATTGGTTAGCGGGCTCAGTGTGTTTGTGATTCGCTAACCGCCTAGTGCACATTGTCCGGAAACGTCACGCCCCCTTACCATTATGGGTAGTTGTGTGTTCCCGGGGGCGGGGTTTATGTAAACATCGGGGTTAGTGATGTCACAAACCCAGGAAGAAGCTCGTTGTAGTCCCTACCAGCCGTTTTTTGTAGTCCTTAAACAGCGATTTCTTCAAAAGAAAATATCTCCCTTTGTATTGAACTCTGAGCGTCGTAACTTTGCAGACGTTGTTTATGCTCTAACAGCAACATTACACACTAGCTAAAGTTCAAAAGGTCAAATTATAATCAACCACCCCTTTAAATGCTGATTTATTATCAATTTTGGAAACAGTTGTGCTGCTTAATATTATTATTTTTTTGGAACCTGTGATACTTTTTCAGGATTCATTCAAAAGAACAGCATTTATTTAAAATAGAAATCTTTTCTAACAATATAAGTCTTTATTTTCACTTTTTATTAATTTAACACATCCTTGCTGAATAAAAGCATTAATTTCTTTAAAAAAAAAAGACTGGCCCCAAACTTTTGAACGGTAGTGCATATTGTTACAAATGATTTCTATTTTGAATAAATCCTGTTCTTTTTTACTTTTTATTCATCAAAGAATCCTAAAAAAAAGTATCACGGGTTCCAAAATTATTAAGCAGCTCTCAATTTTTAATGGTTCTGCTTTATTATTATTTTTTGTAGTTAAATGCTGATATTTATGAAAATGACCCTGAACTGCAGAAGATCCGTGAAGAAAGGGGTTATTCATATATGGATATCATAACTATTTACCCAGATAAACTTCCTGATTATGAGAACAAAGTAGGTTATGCATATCAACATGATTTATTTTGTATGAAAATAACTTAATTTGGTAATGAAATGACAAACTCCTGCTTTCCAGGTAAACATGTTCAAACTAACAAACACTCCTGACGGGTTACAGTCATGAGCACTAGAGCTAATAAATCATTACCAATGGCATAAATCAGACACATTAGTATTTTGATAGTTATGACGATGAATTGTAGTCCTGGAGGGCCGTGTGGAAGGTGGTTGTTTAATGGGCTCAAGTTTTGTAGCATTAATTCATTACTTTCTAGTAAAAGAGCTAGAGAACCACTTTTGCATTATATAATTTGCATTATATATTTGTACTAATTATAATATAGTAATACTGCAATACAAAAACACTGAACAGAACAAAGTGTCATATTAATGAAGACGATGTTAGAAAAAGTAAGTAAACTGTCTGATTATATGACAACATGCTTTTCTGTATGATCACTTAGTTTAAACTAAAGTTTAGCACATTAGTGTTTGTTTTACTATTCATACCACAACAGTAAATAAGTGTATTTATATAGAAATATTACGCTATAGATTACCTTAAAAGTGACTGACTATTCATTTGACGATCTAAAAGCATTTAGCAGATTTCTTTGTTCATTGATTATATAAAACTATATTTTCTCTGCATCATAGTTGTACAAATTAATTTTCCGTTTTTCATGTGTACCATGTTTTGTGAAGTTTTGGACATTTTGTGCAAATCAGACAAACAGCCTAGGATGGGTTTGAAAAAGTAGGTTTAAAAAAAAAATGATACAGAAAAAAGATAAAGCACATATGAAAATGTGATTTGGGGGCACTGAATGATTTAGAGAAAATATTATTTTTATCCTAGCGTTTACAATTCCCAAGTTGTTAGCAAAAAATGTAAATTAGATTAGATGGTGATTCTCACCAAATTTAGTACACAGATTCATGCATTATGCTAAATTTTATAGTGATCAGTTACTCAAAATGCATGTTATTAGCTAGGGCTGCACGATTATGACAAAAATCATAATTGTCGATTATTCCCTTGAAATTGTAATTGCGATTATTAATTACAATGATCACAATTTACATTGAATGATGTTTATACCATTGTTTAATGCAACTGCATGCCGTATTTTTATATGAAAATAAACAAGCTGAAAACACTCTAACTGAAAAACCTTTAGTGCTTTGCTATAGTATTAAGCCTCAAATGTCAACTATACATCGGATTGGTTTCTTCTTTAAATTATAAAAAAGTAAAAATATGAATGGTATTATAATGTTATACTAAAACTAAAATTAAAATAATGGGAAAAACCCTTAAGATAACATGTAGAAAGAAAAAAAACTCATCTTAAGCACGCAGAATAACATAAGTGGACTTTGAACGATTAATTGCCGCTTTGAACGATTATGTAATTGTGGCATCCATAATTGTAATCGCGATTAGAAATTCGATTAATTGTGCAGCCCTATTATTAGCTGCAGGCGGCCATTTTTGTTGTTTTGTACAATTGATTTTTAATGGGTTGGTTAGCACTTGTAATGAAGAAGAAATACATTGTTTAATTTGCCTTGATCAAACTGTTGGGGAGTTATGACAGGTTTTTATTTGTAGCGCCCCCTATGGGCAGATTTGGATGCAAATTGGTGTGCTTCCTCGGAATGTTTTATGGTCTGTGTGTATCAAGTTACGCTAAGTTTGGACACTGCATTGAGCAGATATAGGTCGATGAGTCAAAATGGGCAATGCCAGTCTGTTTTATTGGATTATATTATCACACAGCTTTTTTGTCAGCTTTTACTCATGATAGTCTTGGTATACTTTGCCAAGTTTCATGCAAATCGAACCAACAGTCTCTAGAAGGAGTTCAAAAAATTAGGTTTTTCAAAAAATTAAAAATGGCGGGAAAATGCAATTTTGAAATAAAATCATTGGCAAAAAAGTACAAAAACAACATGGTTGCCCTCAATATATGCTGCATTACTAAAGCACATCTCAACGTCAGAAACCGATTTTCACACATTTATTAACAATATTTCCTTATAATTAGCTTAGATCCTTTGAGAACAATCATTTAATGCATTTAAAAGCATTTCTCAATTCTTGAAACACGGATAACCGTAACCCTTTTTTTTCCTGTGCGGAGCAAATATCATTGAGTTATCAAGTTAACTTTGGTCCTGTCTGTACATGGTAAGAACAACATACTTGAACTTGTAGAAGCTCCAAATGCTGAACATTATTTTCAACCACAGCTTCGTTCATTCAATCCTGCCGCCTGACTCACAATCATTCGGTAACGTCCTGCGTGTTGGATTGTGTTGTCTCATACTAGCTTGAGGCACTGGACGTTGAAGCTGTCTCCCTCTCTACAGGCGGTGGCCTCCAGCAGAGCCTGTTTCTTCTGCGTGCTGCGCGAGGACTCCAGCTCGTACATGGTGGTGAGGTTGAAAAGCACGCTCTCGTGCAGGTAGAGCGCTGGGTCCTTGTGCACCAGGCTCTCCAGCTGGCCCAGGGACTCCTTCAGTCTTCCCAAATACAGCAGACACACGGCTGCATTGTTGTTTGCCTGAAGAACAGAGTTGGCATTGTTAGTGCTGGCAGTATCCAGTATTCATCAGCTGCTGTTTCTCTGGAGGTGCATCACTCCGTCATACGTGTTCAACTTACCACTGGGTTCTTGGGATCAAGTTTCAGGACGCTGGAGAAAAACGTGTGTGCGTCTGCATAGTTATTCTGACTCAGATAAACAAAAGCCCTGTGGACAACATCACATTCAGCTTCAAGAGAACAGATGCACCCATACACTTCAGATCAACAGTTTGAAATAAATACGATTTTTTTATGTTTTTGAAAGAAGTCTCTTATGCTCGCTAAGGCTGCATTTATTTGATCACAAATTCAGTAAGGAATTATATTTTTTTTAATATAGAAACATTGATTATCATCAATATTGAAAACAGTTGTGCTGCTTCATATTTTTTATATTAATAAACTGATACACTACCACTCAATAGTTTGGGTTAAGTCAAAAAAAAAATTATGCTAATTTATTAATATAAACATTTAAAATTAATAATTTTAAATATTTATATTCAAAGAAATGCTGTTCATTGAACTAACTTTCATCAAAGAATCCTGAAAAAAGTATCACGGTTTCCACAAAAATATTAAGTAGCAAACACTAATGTTTTTAACATTAATACAAACCATTGTTATATATTGTATGTAATTAAACATAAATAATAACTGATATTAGAATAATTTCTGAAGGATCATGTGACACTGAAGACTGGAGTAATGATGCAGAAAATTCAGCTTTGATCACAGAAATAAATTACATTTTACATAGAAAACTGCTTTTTTTC